TTTCCAATTTCTTTAATTTTCAATACATATTTCGATTTTAATTTAGTCTTCCCATTTTTTAATTTTTCGTTTTTTCAATTTTTCAAGTCCTTGACTTTTATTTATCATTTTCTCGATTTTACTTCACAAATTTTTCATTTTTTCATTTTCTTAATTTTTTTCAGTGTCCGTTTCGATTTTAAAATTGTTAGTTTCCTAAATTTTTAAAGTCGATTTTTATTTTTCACTTTCCCGATTTTTTAATTTTTGTTTTCTCATTTCCTTTTTTTTCTGTTTCTTTCGATTTTATAATTTTTCGTTTATGCAATTCTTTAAATTTTCAATCTTTGAATTTTCAGTTCCTCGATTTTCCAATTTTTAAATTTTTGAATTTTACAATTTTTCGATTTCCAGTTATCCAATTTTCCGATTTCTTCAGTTTTCAGTATTTAGATCTTACAATTTTGTACTTTTTCGATTTTTAATTTTCTGAATTTTCGATTATTCAATTTTTCGATTCCAGAATTTTTCAAGTTCTTCATTTGTATTTTTCATTTTCCGAATTTTTTAATTTTCGTTTTCACAATCTTATGTTACAATTTTTCGTTTTTTCAGTTCCTTTATTTTTCGAATTTGAAAATTTTGATTTCCAGGTGTCCGATTTTCCAATTTGTTTAATTTTCAATATTTCGATTTTAATTAAGTTTTAATTTTTCGTTTCTTCAATTTTTCAAGTTCTTGATTTTTATTTATCATTTTCTCGATTTTATATCACAAATTTTTCATTTTTTCATTTTCTTTATTTTTTAGTGTCCGTTTCGATTTTAAAATTTTTCGGTCCCTAAATTTTTCAAGTCGATTTTTATTTTTTACTTTCCCGATTTTTTAATTTTTGTTTTCTCATTTCCTTTTTTTTCTGTTTCTTTTGATTTTATAATTTCTCGTTTATGCAATTCTTTAAATTTTCAATCTTTGAATTTTCAGCTCCTCGATTTTCCGATTTTTAAATTTTTGAATTTTACAATTTTTCGATTTCCAGTTATCCAATTTTCCGGTTTCTTCAGTTTTCAGTATTTTGCACTTTTTCGATTTTTAATTTTCTGAATTTAATCTTTTGATTCTAAAATTTTTCAATTCTTGATTTCGAATTTTTGGAATTTTCAAACTTTTCATTTTATATTTTTTGCTTTTCATTTTTGATTTTTCAATTTTACAATTTTGCAATTTTTCCATTTTTTGATTCAAACAGTTAAAACAGGGGAAATTGAAAAACCAAAAATTCAAAATCGAAAAACTAAAAAACGGAAAAAATTTAAAAATCGAAAAACTGCAAAAACCAAAAATTGCAAAATCGAAAAATTGAAAATCGAAGAACTGAAGAAACAAAAAAATTAAATACTGAAAAACTAAAAAACGAGAAATTCAAAATTCGAAAAATTGAAAAACTAAAAAATCTAAAATTGAAACCGGAAAAATTGAAAAATCAAAAAAAAATTGTAGTCAAAAACCATTGAAAATGAAAAAATTAAGAAAATAAAAAACTATTGCGTATCTTAAAATTGAAGAAACGAAAAATTAAAAAATTTAAATCAAAAATTTAAAAAATTGTAAAATCAGCACATTAAAATACCGAAAAAAAGAAAAAATTAAGGAAATAAAAAACCCAAACGAAAAATTGCAAATCGATAAATCAAAGTATTCGAAAGTTGGAAAATTGAAAAAACAAAAAAAATAAAGATTGAAAAATTGCAAAATCCAGATAAAAATTGTAAAATTGAAAAAAAAATTTCAAATTTTAAATTGAAAAATCGAAAAATTGGAAAATCCAAAAAATTAAAAATTTCACATTGAAAAAAAAAGGTAAAATTGGCACACATTGAAATAATCGAAAAAAGGCAAATATTAATAAGGAAATAAAAACCGAAACGAAAAATTGCCAATCGATAAATTGAAGAAATGAAAAATTAAAATGTGAAATAAATGAAAAAGTTTTAAAATCCAATACTTGAAAAACGGGAAAATTCTGAAATCCGAAAATTAGAAAAGTGAAATATTTTAAAAGTTATTATTATTAGGTACATATTTAAAATAAAAAGTAGAAAGATTGCAAATAAAAAATTGAAGAAACAAGAGTTAAAAAATTTAAAAGTTGAAAAATCGAAAATTTGGAAAAAATGAGGAAAATAATAAACAGAAACAAAAAATTGCAAATCAAAAAATTGAAACATCGATAACTTGGAAAATTGAAAAAACGAAAAACCGAAGGATCGAAAAATTGCTAAAATCGGAAAATTGAAGAAACGAAAAATTGGAAAAATTGTAAATGAAGAAACAAAAAATTATAAAACCGGAATATTTGAAAATCGAAAAACTGTAACAAAAAAACGGAACGAAAATTTGTAAATCGAAGAAATGAACGATTAAAGATTAGAAAAACTGAAAAACTAAAAACTGAAACCTCGAGAAAAAAGTTAAAAAATCTAAAAGTTGAAAAATAGAAAAGTTTAAAAAAACCGAAACGAAAAATTGAACATCGAAAAATTGAAACATTGGAAAGTTGGAGAATTGAAAAAACAAAAAAAAATGAAAAATTAAAAACTCTAAAATTGAAAAATTGCAAAATTGAAAACAGAAAAGTTGAAAAATCCAAAAAATGAAAAATTTCACAGAAAAAAAAAAGTAAAATCAACAATTAAGAAAATAAACCGAAAGTTTTTTTAGATCACAATTTTTGGTTTTTCCATTTTTTTTTATTTTTCAATTTTTCTATTTTTCAATGCTTCGGCTTCATAATGTTTCGTTTTTTCAACGTTATTTTTTTCAGTTGTTTAGTTTCTCGAGATCAAATTTTTCATTTCTTTAATTTTTCGGTTTTGCAATTTTTCTGTTACAATTTTTCAGTTTTCGATTTTCCAGTTTTTCAATTTTTCATTTTTCGTTTATTCAATTTTTCGACTTTGACAGTTTGGATTTCCAGTTATCCGATTTCTTTAATTTTCAATAATTTGATTTTACAATTTTTAATCTTTCGATTTTGAATTTTTCAATTCTACAATTTTTCAAATTCTTGATTTTTATTTTTAATTTTCCCCATTTTTAAATTTTCGTTTTATCGATTTTGTATCAGAACTTTTTTCAATTACTCCATATCATAATTTCCCGTTTTTTCAACTAAAATTTTTCAATTCTTGAATTTCTCGACTTCAAATTTTTCAATTTTTCATTTCGTCAATTTTTAGATATGCAATTTTGCGATATATGATTTTTAATTTTTCAGTTTTTTAATATTTCGCTCTCTCGATTTTTGTGGTTCTTGATTTTATTTTTCATTTTCCCGATTTTTTAATTTTCGTTTTCTGGATTTTATAACACAATTTTTCGTTGTTTCATTTCTATTATTTTTTCGACGTTTTTCGTTGTTAAAATTTTTAGTTTATTACAATACATATTTTGTTTTTTCGTTTTGCTCTTTTTCGATTTTTTTTAATTTTCTCAATTTTTAATCTTTCAATTTTTTTATTTTTTCAAGTTCTTGATTTCAAATTTTTAGATTTTTCAAAGTTTTTGTTAATTCGAAAAGTTGAAAAATCGAGGAATTCAAAAACTGAAAATTTAAAATTCGAAAAAAATGAGGAAAATAAAAAACCGAAACGAAAAATTGCAAATAAAAAAACTGAAACACCGGAAAGTTGGAAAATTGAAGAATAAAAAAAAATTAAAAAACGAAAAAATTATAAAGTCTTACACTTGGAACAGTAAAATATTTTAAAAATTATATTACATATTTAAACTGAAAACAAGAAAAATTGCAAATCAAAAATTATACATAGAAACAAAACATTGAAAAATCATGAAACTGAAAATTCTAAAAATGAAAAAACGAAAAGTTAAAAAATGTAAAGTTGTAAGATCGAAAATTATAAAAAAAATCAAGATAAACAAACGAAACGAAAAATTACAAATTGAAAAATTGAAACATCCGAAATTTGGAAGATTGATGAAACAAAAAAAATGAAAGATTCAAACATTGCAAAAATCGGAAAATTAAAGAAAAGAAAAATTGAAAAATTTGTAATTGAACAAAACAAAAATATATAAAATCGGAACATTTGAAAATCAAAAAATTGTAAAAATAAAGAAAAAATCCGAAACGAAAATTTGGAAATCGAAGAAATAATTCGAAAAAGTGAAAAATTAAAAACTGAAAGCTCGAGAAATTTTAATTCAAAAATTGCAAAATTTAAGAATGAAAGAAACAAAAAAACGAAAATTTGAAAAATTGCGAAAACGGGAAAATTGAAGAAACAAAAAATTATAAAATCAAGACATTAAAAAATCGAATAAGTGAAAAAATAAAGAAAATAAAAAACCCCAATGAAAGATTGCAAATCGAAAAACCGGAAACTCGAGAATCCCAAATCGAAAAATTGCAAAATCTAGAAAATTGAAAAATTCAAATCACAAACAATGTTTGTAATTATAAAAATGTAGAAATAACTTTCGACCAACTTTTGTTATTTAATTCCCTTTTAACTAATTTTGATTCGGATTTCAAGCTTTGAAATCTTCTGGAACACAATATTTTTACAACTAGTAAGTACATACAACGTTATATTTGTGAAATTAGAAAAGTTTTTTTTTTATTTAAATAAAAGTTAGTCTTTGAGCTATGAGATTGTTAATTATAATAACTAAGACGCTTTGAACTTTAAAATTCAAATTTGAAACTAAATTACCACTGGACAAGAATATTCTAAGAGTGAAGCACGCACTGTGTATTCCGTTGCTATATAAAATGTACAATCATAGAAAAAAACTTGTCGCGATCGCATTAATTAAACAGTTGGAGTGTCCCGCATTCAATTTAAATTTTTCCTTTATCCCCAGCCCGGTCCTGCGCCCGTGGCACCGCTCCAAATGAACCCATTGTCGTTTTCCAAATATTTAGCGAAACCCCGCACGACAAAATGGAGCAATTTACCTTGGAAAATCTCCAAAGCCCGACAATTAGGTCAACTCACCTGCTGAAAACGTGCCCGTTGGGGGCGTCCTTGGTGCCGTTGCCGATCGACAGGCGAATCCTGCTGAAGGACCCCAGCAGGCTTCCCTCGGACTTCCTCCTCGTTTCGTGATTGGGCACCGGGAGCTGCGCCGGGACGATGGTCGGGACTCTCGAGTTCTCCAAAAGCTTCTCCAGTTGTTCGGCCTTGTTCTCATCGTCGATTTTGACTTCGTCGAGCATCACTTGGGTGTTGTTCGTCATTGCTTGAGGGCCATTTTGGTGGGTTTAGTAAGTTGAAATACTGGCTGAACTAGGACTATGCTAATATCACACTTGGTTTGGTTTCAGGAACATTTTCGCGTTTGTACCTGGAAGAAAAAGGCGCTTGAGTAGGAGATAGGAATGCCGTTTGAACTTGACGCAGAGGTTAATTTTGATTTTATGCACGCTGCAGGGCGGGAATGGCATGGTTGGGAAGCGGAACGTGGCGAGGTGGAAAAGGGCTTTTTTATGGTGGAGGACGTGTTGGTGGGTTGTTATGTAACGTTCTTGAGAGGTTAATGGCTTTTTTTAGAGTTTGGATTCAGACGAGATTATAATTGTAATCAATCATTGATTGTAAAAAGATCGAGTTAATGAGGCGGCGAGACGTAATTTAACCTAAAGATTTATTGCAAAAGATAAAAAATAAATGCTTATAAAAAAATGGTGAAGGTTATTCAACAGAACTTTCCTCGCTGCTGGAGTGTAGCCCAACAAATCAAGTTATAAAAATTGTTAACGATTTTTGGTTTTTCAACTTTGCGGTTTACGATTTTTTAATTTTTCATTCTTTATGTTTCTTCAGTTTTTCGAATTTTCTCGAGTTTTCAATTTTTAATTTTTCATTTCTTCAAATTTTCGTTTCAAATTTTTCGGTTTTTTATTTTCTTTATTTTTACAATTTTTCGATTTTTCAATTTTTCAGGTTTCTATTTTTTGGGTATCAATTTTTCGATTTTTCAGTCTTTCGTTTCGGTTTCTTATTTTCTTTAATTTCTCAACTTTCCGGTTTTTCAATGTGTTGACTTTATAATTTTTCTATCAATTTTCTTGTTTCAATTTTTGGACTTTTCAATTTTTCGGTTTTTAAATTTTTGATTTTTCAATTTAGATTTTTTACATTTTCGTTTTTTCAGTTCTAGATTTCTCAGTTTCTCGATTTTTCGATTTCAGTTTCTTGAGTATTAAATTTTTCGAGTTTTCAATTTTTCGGTTTTTCAATTTGGAATTTTTCGTTTCGGTTTTTTAATTTATTTATTTTTTCAAGTTTTCGGTTTCCAATTTTTCGATTTTAGTTTTTAAATTTTTGATTTGCAATGTTTCGTTTGAGCTTTTTATTTTCTTTATTTTTGCAATTATTCGATTTTTAATATTTCATTTTTGTAATGTTTTCTTATCTCAATTTTAATTTGTTTAGTTTCTCGTTTCATCAATTTTCCGATTTGCCTTTTTTTTTGTTTCTTCGGCTTTTAGATTTTATAATTTTTAGATTCAAAATTTCTGGAGATGTCAATTTTTAATTTTTCATTTCTTTTAATTTTCAATTGAAATTTTTCGTCTCGGTTTTTTATTTTCTTCATTTTTACAATTTTTTGAATTTTCAGTGTTCCGATTTTACAATTTTTTTTTTACTAAATCTCAATTTTTTTCAGTTTTTCGTTTTGTCAATTTTTCAATTTGCAACTTTTAATTTTTTTGTTTCTTCAACTTTATGACATGCAACTCTACGCGTTTTTAAATTTTTCAGATTTTCGATTTTCTATCTTTTGGATGTCAATTTTTCGATTTTGCAATTTTTCATCTGTCAAATTTTTTAATTGTAATTTTTCGGTTTGAGTTTCTCGTGTTTTCAGTTTTCAAGTTTTCAATTTTCCGTTTGAGTATTTTATTTTCAAGTTTTCAAGTTTTCAATTTTTAATTTTTCAATTTTTTGTTTGAGTTTTTTATTTTCGTTATTTTTTCAATTATTCGATTTTTCAATGTTTCGATTTTGTCACTTTTTGTTTTTTCAACTTCCCGATTTGCGATTTTTCAATTTTTTTGTTTCTGCAGTTTTTAGATTTGCAATTTTTCGATTTAAATTTTCTCAAGTCTTCAGTTTTTAATTTTTCATTCCTTCAAATTTTCGATTCGAATTTTTCTTTTCGGTTTTTTATTTTATTTATTTTTAGAATTTTTCGTTTCGTCAATTTTTTTCTTTTGTTTCTTCTATTTTATGATAGCAACTCTTGATATTTTCATTTTTAAATTTGTCAGTTTTTCGATTTTGTATCTTGTGAATGTCAAATTTTCAATTTTTCAATTTTTCGGGATTTCGATTTTTTTTTTCAATGTTGAAATTGTTCAGTTTTTCGATTTGCAGTTTTTCGTTTCGGTTTTTTGTTTTCTTAATTTTTTTCAAACTTTTGGGTTTTTCAATGTTATGATTGTATAATTTTTCTTTTTTCAATATGAAATTTTTCGATTTTTTTCTTTAGTTTTTCAATGATTCTATTTTTCAATGTTTTAATTTTTCAGTTTCTTATTTCAATTTTCAATTTTCCAATTTAGGATTTTTCAATTTTTCATTTTTTTGTTTGTCCAATTTTTCGTTTCGTCAATTTGCAACTTTCCATTTTTTTTTGTTTCTTCTACTTTACGACATGCAACTCTAGGGGTTTACATTTTAAAATTTTTCAGTTTTTCGACTTCTATCTTTTGGATGTCAATTTTTCGATTTTCCAAGTTTTCATCTGCCAAATTTTGTATTTATAATTTTTCGACTTGAGTTTCTCTAGTTTTCAATTTTTCGTTGGAATATTTTATTTTCTTTATTTTTTTCAATTATTCCATTTTCAACGTTTCGATTTTGTAATTTTTTGTTTCCTTAATTTTAATTTGTTCAGTTTCTGGTTTGATCAATTTTCCCATTTGCGATTTTTTGAATTTTTAGCTTTTTTTGTTTCTTCATTTTCTAGGTTTTCCAATTTTTTTATTTAAAATTTCCCGAGGTTTCAATTTTTAATTTTTCATTTCTTCAAACATTTTATTTTCATTACTTATCTCTATTTTTACAATTTTTCGATTTTTCAATGTACCGATTTTTTCAATTTTTCAGTTTTTTTTGTTTCTTCAATTTTATGATATCCAACTCTACGGGTTTTCATTTTCACAATTTTCAGTTTTTCAACTCTATCTTTTGGATGTCAATTTCGATTTTTCAATTTCTCATTTGTTCGATTTATCGATTTGGAATGTTTCGTTTCAAAAATTGATATATTTTCCCAATTTTTGGGTTTTCCAATGTTCTGATTGTAAAATTTGTTTTTCAATTTAGATTTTTTAATTTTACGTTTTTTCAATTTTAGATTTTTCAGTTTCCCGATTTTTCGATTTTTCATTTGCCCAATTTTTGATTTGCAATTTTTCTAGTTTTTATTTTACGATTTTAGAATTTTTCTTATATTCGACTTCATTATTCAATTTTTCGATATTTGAATATTACAGTTTTTTGATTTTACAATTTTTAGACTTTTCACTTTTTAGATATTGCAATTTTTCGTTTTTTCAGTTTTTCAATTTTACAATTTTTTTAAATTTTAGTTATTTGAATTTTAATTTTTCGAGTCACAAAAATATAAAAATCATGAAATTGAAACATCAAAAATCAAAAAAACGAAAAATATAAAACGAAAACTTGAAAAATCTAAAAATTGGAAATCAAGAACTTGAACAATTGAAGAAACAAAAAACTCAAAATAGGAAAATTAAAAATAGAAAAAGCGGATAATTAGAAATTCAAAATTTTCAAAATTCAAAAATTTAAAAATTGGAAAACCGAATTGAGAAATCAAAAATGAAAAATGTGTAGAATTGAATAAACGAAAAATTATAAAATTGAAAGCAGCATTGATTAAATAAAAAAAAAGAAAAAACAAAAAATTGCGATATAAAATCCAGAAAATGAAAACCAAAAAATCGGGAAGAACTGGAAAAACTGAGGAATCGAAAAACTGAAAAATCTAAAAATGAAAAATTGTAATACCGAAAAATTGCAAATTGCAAAATTGAAGAAACAAAAATCCAAAAATTTGGAAATTGAGGATTTAAAAAATTGAAAAAATTAAAGTAGGAAAAAACAAAAATTATCAAACCGAAACATTAAAATGGAAAAATTGAAAAATGAAAGAAAATGAAAAAACGAAAAATTGTGATATCAAAAAATTGTAAAATGGGCAAAAAGGAAAACGAAAAAATGTGATATCAAAAAAAAATTGGTCGATGGTATCCATATTTTTTAACCTCTCTTCTTTTTAATCAGTTTTGTCGCCTGTTTTTGTTGATTTTTCTTGTCACCCTTTTTTGTTGCATTTTTTGCCACCTTTTGTATCTTTTTTTGTCCCGTGTTTTCTCCTTTTTGTTTCGTTTCTGTAGCCCTTTTTGTCGCTTGTTTTCATACAAATTTGTTACTTTTTATTGCCTTTCTTGTTGCTTGGTTGCATTTTTTTTGACCTTTTTTTTGTTGCTGTTTCCGAAAAATTGAGATTTGATTTAGTGAATTGATGAATGAATGAATCAATAAAAAATTGTGATATAAAATCGTGAAAATAAAAATAAAATGTTCAGGAAAACGGAATGAGTTTTTCTTGATTTATTTAACTAATAAAATAAATTGCCTCATTAGTTAATTTTTTGAGTCACACTGTATGTTATAACATTGGTGGTGGGGTGGGGGTGATTAGCCAAATTTTGGTTAGCGTTTTACCATCTACACTCCATTCCATTCCTTACATACATACAACATTTTACACAATCGGTCCAGTAGTTTAGGAGGTTATATGTCAGACAGAAGGGAATAGGGATCCACTTTTTTCTTACTCTATAAGTCATGAAAAGTCGAGAAAACATAAAGCGACAAGTCGTCCGATGGACTCGATTACTAACTTCCTCAGGAAGTTACAAGAATCTGTATAATTTTTAATCCTGCATTAAATCAAATTAAGTCAAGAATTTCTAAGAATATTACTATAAACTATGACATTTTTGTTTGAGATTATTAAGAAAGCTTGTAGCTGAATAAAAAAAATCATACAATGTTTCCGGTTTCACACCTTTCATCTTTGAATGCGGTTAGCCTTCTTCTAAATTATTTATTCAAAACGTTGTAATTTTATTATGTAACCAAAATTTTCAACCAAATAAACGTTTAAACAATGCTCGCCATCATGTTGTTATCTAAATCGAGTACTATTAACCATTTTAACAATTCTAATAATAATTAATCGCAGACTTTTAAAATAATCCGAGTGTTCTCATCATAAGATAATATTGAATTCTACCTAATCCT